GGGCCGGGGCGGTGAGGTGAGGGGGGGGCCGGTCGGCCAAACTTTGGGGGGTCGGGCCCTTCCGTTGTAGCCTCGGTCGTGCCGTGGGGCTGAGCTTGGCAGCTGGGCCCTGGGGTAGAGGTATCTGCGGTGAGGTGAGGAGTGCCCCGAGAGGGCCGGGTGAGGCTGGGCCGCGCCCCCACCCCCCCTTGCCTGCCTCTGAGTGTTTCCTCCGCCTTACGGCCTTTCTCCCTGGCCGTGTCTCGGCTACAAAGACTGAGAGAGGGCAAGCTCGCCCTAAGGCTGAAAAAGTGTCACTGGGAGACTTTCTCGTGAAGGTTGCTGTCTGCTGTTAGCAGTGAACGGCCCTCAGTTATCAGCGAGCGTGGCCCATTAAAAGGAAATTCTGGTTTGACATCTATGCAATGTGTTTCTGTATCCCATGCAAATTATGTTAACGTGACTCCCGCTTTAAGTGTCTCTTTAAACCTACGTGCAATGTGACTAAACCAATAACCCAGAGAAAGCAGATAGGCGGCTACTCTGTGTTTTGCAGAAGGACAAGAAAACCTCTCGCTTTGGTCTGTGGAAACCTGGTACCTTGTCTGCAACCTTGCTCTGAAATAAAGGAAAGCCAGTAGATGATTTAGGAGTTTAAATTGTTGAAATAAGCTTACGAATTTCCTAGGGAAATGCTACTTAGTCTCCTTAAAGCAATACTGAATTAGGTCACCTTTTTAGGCCAGTTACAGTGCTTTCCAAGGTTGTGCTATCATTGTAGCAGTCCAGAGGTCTAACTAATAAAGGATGGGCAGATCCAGCACAGGTGCAAAATATTAGTCCTGATTAAAAGTGTGAACTATTTGAAAGGTTATATTCGAAATATAAGGCCTTTCACTTTTTTTTTTGTCAATTGCAGAAAAGATTCAGCTACTTTATCTGAAAGAGTCTTGGAAGTGAAAAGAGACAGAAGGGACATTGTTATGTCTGCTGCTAAGGAAGAAGATGTCTGTAATCATGTGAAAGTAGTGGTCCGTGTCCGTCCAGAGTCTCAAAAGGAAAAAGATGGCAACTTTAGCAAGGTTGTTCATGTTGTTGACCAGCATATATTGGTTTTTGATCCAAAGGAGGAAGAAGTTAGCTTCTTTCATGGGAAGAGACTGATCCATAGGGATGTCAATAAAAGAAAAAAGAAAGATCTTAAATTTGTATTCGATACTGTTTTTGCTGAAAATTCATCTCAGTTGGAAGTTTTTGAGCATACTACCAAAAGTGTAATTGATGGCTTCTTAAATGGATATAACTGCACAGGTAACTTTGCTACTTATCTTCTTCAATTCAAAAACTTCAATAAATTTCTTTATGTTTTTCTACCGTTGTACCCGACTGCTGTAGGGACCTTAAAAGAGGCTGAGATATAAATAAAGCATTTTGGTTTAGTTTATAGATATGAGAGGCTGGCTTTTTAACCTATGGAAGTTAGGATAGCTCTATTGTGAATATGAGTTCATGTTAGGGTTATAATAGACTTCAGAATTTTATCCAAAATATGCACGCTTATGAGGGGAGTCCTCTGGAAAGAGTTATTCAACCAGAAGCAGTTGTGTCACTGTGTGGTAGCCTGCTTCATGAACTCTCTTTAAGAGCTTGTTTTTTTAATTGGCAAATGGATTGTGGTAAGGAAATTAAATACCTACCTGCAGTAAGCTGATGGCTTAGGGTTAAGAGAGTAAGCAAATAATATTTTCATGTACATTGCCAGTGAATTAATTTTGAACTGAAAATCCAAAAATAAATGTGATTTTGAAATGGCTTTCTGATTTACAGCTGTAAAAGGTAAAACCTAAGTAAGAAACTTGACCAGTTTATGAAACCAGCTGCACAGAGTGACAGAGGCATGTGAATGTCCATTTGACTTCTGTGTTCCTGATTAGCTGACTAATATAAGTACATCTTTTTGCTTTGTTGTTATTTTGTAAAAATTTAGTGCTTGCATATGGTGCAACAGGAGCTGGAAAGACTCATACAATGTTAGGTTCCCCTGAAGATCCTGGAGTGATGTATTTAACCATGATGGCACTTTATAATTGCATGGATCAAATAAAAGAAGATAAAATATGCAATGTTGCTGTCTCTTATTTAGAGGTAAGCAAGTTCCTGCATTTGGTATGTTGCTTTTAATAAGGCATATTTTAGTAAATAAAGACAAGCTAGTTTTGCCTTCCCTTGGCACTTTCAGGGACTTTACAAAATGTGTCCCTGATAAGAATGGAGCTGAATTGTGTTCCACAAATTTGGTGTTACCCATATTCAACTGTTACTATTTTACAGAAGGCTGCCTGAAAAGGACAATCTTTTCTAATATATTTACTAACATTCTAATGATTTCTGTCTTGTTGATCAGTTACATCCCTCTGAACATCTGTTGATGTGTACAAGAAAATATTTTTTTTCAGGGTGTTTTCATGACTTCATGTAAATGCCTATAAGCACTGTGAAATCACACAACAAAATGATATCTAATCCCTTTTCAATTATGTTTTTTAAAGGTTTCAGTTTATTTTATTTGTCTGAGGCACAGTATAACTACTTGAATTACAGCTGCTATGCCAATGGTTAGTTCTTTACAAGTACTCCTTTTGGTTTTTGTCACTTTCTCTTCTCTGCAACTTTTTTGCATCACAGTTCTGCTTTTACAAGTAGCTGTCTTGACACTGCTGTCAAGCAGTAGTAGTAAAATTGTCACCTTCTAGCCCCCTCAAAGTCTTAATGGAAGAATAGATAGTATTTGGAGGGAAGAAGGAGGAGGGGAAAGTTTGCTTTGCCATGTGCTATTTCAAGTGCTTCCACAGAATACCAAGGTATTTAAGAATTTTAACAAAAGTACATTTAAATTAAGAAATCTTGCTGAAGTATGGATTATGATGTGTAATAGAGGACAATAAATGCTTTGGATTTATGCTTCCTGCAAAAGCTTTTTGTAAAAAAAGTAAACTTTTTTTTAATAAAGAATAAAGATTGTTTACTATGAAAGAGTGACTCCCACTTCAATGGCTAAAAACATTTATGCAGATTGAATTAACTGAATATTTCAAGCTCAGTATAGGAAAGCTATTTGGCAAAAATTCTACAGAATTTTGTTACTTTGTCTTAAAGAAGTATTAAGAAAGACTGTGATGATTTCTGGTTAGGTTTAATCCTATCAAGTATGGTAGGATAGTTTTATTAAAAGATCTTAAATTCCCTTTCAAAGGTCTACAACGAACAGATCCGTGATCTGCTGGTAAACTCGGGACCTCTGGCTGTTCGTGAAGATACCCAGAAAGGGGTCGTAGTTCAAGGACTAACATTACATCAGGTATGTAAATAGATATTGAAATTTAGGAAGCTTCACAATGTGTTTGAGAAAATGGTGAAGTTCCCATTAATCCGTGAAAGTTGTATGCAAAGTGGTAATTTCCTAGCGGGCTTTTTTCTGACCGTAATCACCAATGCTTTAGTAACTTGCAAACTTGGTTAATTAATTACTCAAAAGCATGTTGTGGAAAAAACTGCTAATATTCTTGAATATAAATGGATAAAATCATTCAGTCCTTATTATCAAAAGAGTACCATTGGTTTGATGCACATCTTCAGGTTATGGAAGATTTGGTTTTAGGCTAAAACATCTTAGCATTTGTTAAAGAAATTCACTGCATTCAGTGCCATCATGGAGTGTTCTACACCTCTGTAATGTCCCAGGGTTTTTTGTTTTTAAATAACCATGTTTGAAAAGTTTCATGTTAAATTACTTTTCCAGGCCTGCATAGCAATTCTTTGGCAAAGTCAGTGACAGAACTTAGTTCTCCAATCTGCAAATCAATTCTTGTGAACCTATTTTCTTGCAGCCTTTTAGTGTATGTTACATGCTGTGTAGCTTCCAGCTTTTGTGTACATAGAATAATGATTCAACAGAAAACAGTGTTATTAGTTTGACTCGCTCCGTGAACACCATCCTTAGCGAAGCTTGGGTCTTGTGAGGAAAAAAATTAGTCTATCACTGTTTAATGCATTAGTACAATAAAAATTAAGTCAATCATTCTTAAATAAGACTTCTTCTAACTATGGAGAACCTTTGCAGATTTGTTTAAATTTTTAGTAAAAAAGTTTTCTGATTTAAATTTCTGCAGTTATTAAATGCTTGCTTTTCGTACCTTATTGATTTTTAACTGAGAATGTTTGTTTGAAGTGCCTCAATTCCAAACCAGGAAATTTCTCTTATTTCTAGGTAACTAAAATTTTAAGTTCCTTTATTTTTTTGAAGGTGAATGTTCACGTATTTTAGAATCAGAATAGAATCTTCTATAGTTGAAAAATAAGGAAAAAACCCAAATGCATTTATCTTGTACTCTACCCTTAAAGCCTAAATCAGCAGAGGAAATCCTTCAAATGTTGGATTATGGAAATAAAAATAGAACACAGCATCCCACAGATGTAAATGCCTCCTCTTCCCGCTCCCATGCTGTCTTTCAGGTAAGATGATATAGCAGATGTACAGTGGTCATTACTGTCAGTTTTAGTGTTTGTTTAAAGTTGAATACAGTTGAGCCTTTTTTTTTAAACTGTGTTGAACCTTAGTTTGGGTGAGAGGAGATTAAAAGTTTTCCAGTATACTCTTCGTGTTGACTTCTCATTCCTTGTAAGTATATAAAGGTTCATAGTGATTATATTTGAAAAAACTGATTTAATGAAAAGCTCTCTAGTTCCAATAGCTTGAACTAATATTCCTTAGAAGAAATATCTTTTCTGTGAGACTGTAATTTTGAGCTTTGAATATACTTCCATATTGTAATCTTGTAAACTGGAAGTTGTTGGGGTTTTTTTTGATGCTTTCTGGTTTCATTATGTTGCTCAGCATTTTTCTAGGAAAAATATTCTACAGAATGCAGTTATACATCTGACTATAAAATGAGAATCGCAAATAGTACTTTCTCATCCTGCTTATTTTGGTTAATGTTGATTTTTACACTAAAGTGATTTCTTAATGTTCTGGTACGTACCAAGTTTTAGAACAACTAAAGCAGTATATATTCTCTGAAAATATCTCCATCCACATAGTTGCATCATCAAAATGAAATACTGATTTTTAGTTTCCACAGATCAAAGTTTTGCATGTGTTGTACAAATCTGCTAAACTTAACACTTCTCCGAAGATTATTGCTGTTTGCTAACCTCCATGTTATCCTTCTGATTCCCTTTAAGTACAACCTGTGATATTTTTTAAAAATAATATTTAAAAATTAGTCTTGTTAGCTAAAACTTCTCTTTCTGTTTGTTAGTGCGTACTGCAAAGCACATTATCTTAAATTATTTATATGTTGCCATTGTGGGTTGCAAAATATTAAAATAAATTTGAATTCTGGTCCTTTCATTACAGCTAATAAACTGTTTAACTGTTAGGCGGTTCTTAACCATATCTGCAGACTTAGGCAATGCTTAATAACTGTAGCCGAAAGTTTGTATTTTGACATAAATGATGGCAATGCAAGTAGCTGTAAAGTTAGCACTCCAGAGCTCTACTGTCAATAGTAATGAGAAAAGAGGTTAATAACAGAGTGTAAATGTGTTAAATACTTCTAAAATATGTAATGGACCAAAAGTCATTCCCACTCTAAAAGCTTCTATGTTTTCTTACATGCCTTAAACTTTTGTTTGAAATTGCCCTTCCTGCTTTTAATTTCCTCTGAGGTCTTGCCCATGGTTGTACATTTAAGGCAAAGACTTCTTACCAAATTGTTCAGTTTGAGAGCTGCACTGTCGTGTACACGTGCTGCCTTTAATAAGGCACAAACTACAGTGCCACAGTCTGAGATCAGAGAGTGAACTGCTGATCTCTGTTTCTTTACTTGCTGGGCTGGAGTGTCTTACCTCCTTCACCTTTACTCAGGAAGAAGCTCTGGATCATATTATCTGGCAGGCTTTGCATTCTCGGTTCATTTCTAAAAGTGGCAAGCAATTAAATAAATTAGGTAGATGTTGCAGACTCATAGTATCTTTAAGAAGACAAATGATTCTGTGAACAGGGATGCTGGAGAGTTTATCTTCTCCAGCCTACATTCTGTATTTATTCTGGCAAATTGATCTTACTGAAGATGTGTCTACTTGTTAACAAAAGTTGCATATTCACCAAATAAACTATGCTGACAAAATTAGGATATTTTCTCTGTATTTTACCACAATTTTGTTTTGAATGTATGACCAAAAAAATTGATTGGTATACTTAATCAGATTTACACTTTTTTAAAATTCATCATTTCAAACTATTTCCAGCGTACAGACAGCAAAAGTGAACCAAATATGAATGCTTGCAGGTGAGAGGATTGTTTACTTTCTGGCAACATAAGTAAAAACATAATGAGAACAAAGATCCTCTCAGGAACAGCATATATATAATTTCTGTGTATGTGTATATAAAAATATATATATTTAGGATGCAGTTTGTTTGCAATGCACTGAATGAAAACTGTCATGCTCAGTGGTTTTGTAAATGCTTTTCATGTTAAGTTCTAAAATGAACAAGCTTTGGGGGTTTTTTCATGTGTGTATTATATGCATACTGTAAACTAGTGTGATGGGTGAGAAAGTAAAAATAACAATTCTTTGAATGTTTAGCAAATACTGTTACAGGAAGCATCTGACTTTAAAAAGCAAAAAGTATATACTTTTGCAGCTCGTGTACTAAGCCCTGAATGATTTTTCTCTGAGATCATTATTGTTGATAATAGAATTCTTAACACTGCTCAAACTGGTGTGAACATTTTTGTCTTTGAGTTTGAGATAACTGACACAGTAATTTCCGGATTAATCTCTCTGTACTCGCTCTTTGTTTTTCTGTGTCCCCATAGCAGTAGTGGCCAGCAAAGTAGCCTTGATTGTGTGAAATACACTGGCTGTCTCTTAACCAGTCTCCTTACGCAGCTGCAGTCAGTTAAATGGCATTCTTGATTGAGCTTGATATTCATGGACAAATGTCTGGGTGTTAGAACTTTTTCATGAGAGAAAAAACCTTTCAATGTAAAGACTAGGCATTGCCATGTCATGGCTTGAAGCATGTTCTGCTATGTACTCAGCATTTAGTCCCAGCACACAGTTCATTCACAAAAACAGTCAGGCTGATTCAAGAATTACTGTAGTTAGCAAAAACTTTCTCTGGTGTTCGTTGCAATATGCCTAATCCAGTTAACTCTTGTAATGAGATAATCCCGAATGTTTGTTGCATTTGTCTTTTGAGATGGTCTAGCTGTCAATCAAGATACTTAGTTGCTTTCACTTAACTGTTGTTTTCTAAGTGTGCAAATTATTGGTAAAAGTCATGATTTGTTTTGTTACACAATTGTATCTTGAATGTGTGATTTATATAAATATCTACTGATATCGTGTGTTCTCAAAGATAGACTAGCACAGTCTTTGAATAATAGCGCATTTAAGAGTGAATGGGTTTTAAACCTTTGTCACAGAAGTGACTATGCTTGAGAGGAGGGGAGGATTATGTCATTTATAATCCTGTAAATAAATGCTTAATAGAAATGCTGCATCTGCATGTAGCACTTTAAAGGAATATTACTATTGCTAACTAGATTGGTCCAGTGAATGCAACTGCAAGTTTAACAGATTTTAATTAATGGGTACTGGTTTAATGTAAGCAAATTCACAACCATACAGTTTTTTTTAAAGTGGATTCTTAGATACTCTATCTGCTTGATGCTCTGTAAGAAATGATTACAAACTAGTCAATTAGTACTACAAGTAATCACTTATGTCCACTTCTCATCTGTTTCCACAAATCTGTGACATTCTGCAAAACATGTCTTACCTGCTTATCCTTTATTGCCTCTTTGGTTCCATAGATACAAATTGAGACATCTCTACTGGTCTCTTGATTCCTCTTCCTTTTTAAATTTTCTGTAATTTTAAGAGTTGCTCTTGTTTGTAGAGAACACTTATCTTTTATACTGGCTTTGGTTTTTGTGGTTAACTTTATTGGACCAGGATGTTTTCTGGAACTGACTCAGAAAGTAGTAAAAGTCTTGGCCCAGGACATTCTGAGATGATTTTAGAGATGGAAGTTTTGCTTTACTGTACTATCTGTCTTAGGTTTGAAATCTCTATCTAGGTCAGGCAATTACTGCATCTGAAAGTAAAATCCCAGTTGCCACACAGTTCTATTGAAAGTATTCTGCTGACAGACAAAGAAATAGAAAAGGTTCTGCTTTGGGGCATTTCCTGTATCTTTTGAATTTTTATAAAAGCTTGAGTTGAGCCAAACACAGTTTGGCTGTTACTCCACATTTTCCTACTTCACTAATGATAGTTATTGTGTTCTGGTAGAGTGCTACCAGCCTGAGATAGCTACTTTACCAAGGTAAGTACAGGGAAGTGGCGCTTTTTTTTTTTTATTTTGTACTAGAAATAGTACAACAGAACTTGCTTGCATTGTTTGATATCGAAATATGTCTCTTTAGTATAAACATACCTTTTGTGGCAAGTCAAAAGAATTTTATTCACTCCCAATACTTGTAAATTTTTTTTTCTCTTACAAATTGCTGTGAAGACTTCATTTCTCATTGCCAAAGCTTAAAGCTACAGAACTGGTGAGATATTGTCTTTATTAATCAGTCACCTTATATGTATGGCAGCTGTTTCCCAATTCACTGTCTAAAAGTGCGTTGATGTAAGTGTCAGTAACCATTAGACTTACAAATAGCAAGCCACTTAACACAAAAGAAGGGGAAATTTTTAAAGAATCCTGAAAAAGTAAAAGCCATCTAACTGTAATTCTTCTTACTGACTGTATAATCACGCTCTGCCTACTTCCTCATAAATCTGAGGAAAGATTACCTTCACTAGCAGAAGAAAGGAAAAGCATTTAGTTCCTTGTATATTTCCTGTACCATGAAAATTTCAGGAAAAAAAGGATGAGGGGTCACAACTGGCATCAGGGGTCACAACTTTCCAAAAGAACCTGGAGTAGTATGTGATTTCACAGTAGTAAATGAGTGTTGTTCCTCTATTCATGGTAGTTACAGTTAAGTGTAAATCACTGAAAGTTCAGCCTTTTTCCTGGTTTATCTCTGAATATATCTTTATGGCATAGTCTTAAAGGTGCCTTTAAAAAATGAACACCTTTTTCAGTTTAAAGTCCAATAGTCTGGTATACATCTTGAGTGCAGAAGAATCAAGAGCTATTTTAGCTATGAAATTCATTTGAAGCTTGCCAGTCTTTGCCACTGTGGTAAGCCCTGGCCACAGCATCATAATCCTCTGCAACAGGATGGACCAAAGAATGCAAAGGGCAAAGGCAAGAGAAAGAGGGAATTATCTTGTGGTTCACTTAAGTGAAGGGAGTGGGGGGGAAGGAACCAGTTGCCACAGGCAGACTGATGCCCAGCCAGTCCTCAAGCAAGGGCTACTTTGGAGAAACCTGTGGTCAGTTGGGGTCACCTGTCCACTTGCAACCTCTTGCCCACCACCTTGACACCATACAACTGCTGTTCAGCAAAAGCTAAACAGTAGTGTCTTATCAGCACTGTTTGGATTCCAAATCGGAGAGCACCATACAGACTGCTATGCAGAAAACTAACTCCACCCCAGCCAAACCCATTGTGACCACACTCTGCCTTTTTTTTCCACCTACTAATACCTGAAGCAGGTGAGTTTAAGAGGTAAGTGTCAGAAAGGCGTGCAGTGTTTTCCATTAGACCAAACTGCCTCTTGGTGTTAGATATGTACTGAAAGGTTTAACTTGGATTCCAAGAAGGATTCCAATAAGAATTTCTGCAAACAGTTGTTACACTGCAAAATTAAATTACTGCTTAGAGTAATAACAAACTGGTTAGTGATTACTTTTTAATTATTTTCTTTTTTTTTATTATAGATTTATCTAAGGCAGCAAGACAAAACAGCTAGTATTAATCAAAATGTTCGCATCGCCAAAATGTCTCTCATTGACCTGGCAGGATCTGAACGTGCCAGTGCAACAAATGCCAAGGGGGCTCGTTTTAGAGAAGGAACAAATATTAACCGCTCCCTGCTAGCTCTTGGAAATGTCATTAATGCCTTGGCAGATCCAAAGGTATGTGCTGCTTTTTAAAACATGATAAGCTCTCATTGAGTAGTGCGATTTATGTTGTTGATGCTTCTCACATTATCATTTTCCTTTAAGTTTGCCACCATCGTCTCTGTGATAGCTGAAGGACAGTCCCAATGGGAAAGAGTTCTCAAAAATAGTGTGCAGCTAATCAAAGATGAATGTTCCTGCTTTTCTTGCTACCTTTTTCAAAATCAAGCATATGTAGAGAAGTTTACATGAGTAAATAAACAGCCTTATGAAGGCAAAGATTTTTTCCATAGGTTTATGCCCTTTAATCTTTGTGGAGGAAGCTTTTATAGGAGAAAACAACACCTACCCAAAGTTGTTCTTTTGTGCTCTTACATACAACCACACACACATCCCGCACCACCCCCACCCCCTGCTTGAACTAGTGAATTAGTCTCCTGATCTGACTCACCAGCTCAAGGGAAGGAGTGGGGACAGTTGTGTGGGAGAATGAATGACAAAAACCCCTGAACTTTTGCCAGAGTCAAGTCCATTGGCTACGGCTACACCCTTTTTGTTGTTCTGGTAAGCTATCAATTTCCCCCTTCAAATATGCCAGGGGAAAATGATCAGAGCTTTTATTACCTTTCCTGGTGCCACACATTCTCATCACCATCTTGTTGGAGTGGGAGGCAGAATTTAAAATCTGTACCATGGACATAAGTAAGATTCTTCATGTTGACTTCTTTGGTGTGGGACTGGGGTCCTAGTGACCTAACTTTGTACCATGAGATGAAGATTCTATAGATGTGAATAAAAAAAAGCTTTACAAAGCAGACTTCAGGTTGCCTGTAAAGGTTGTGGGATCTCCATCCTTGGAGATACTCAAAAGCCAACATTGCTATCTACTCTGATGCACATACTTTGAGCAGAGAGATTGGACTAGATAGATCTTGAGAGGTCCTTCCCAACCTCGATTATTCTGTGAACTGAAAGTACTTTAATGTAGTCTACCTTTTCTGTTAGTTGCCCACATCACAAAAATAGTTGTTACTGGACATAAGAAAGTAACTTGGCTAATACATGTGTTACAAAGGTATTAAACAGTTCCAAGAGATTTAAAACCATGTGAGATGTATGTGTAACCGAGAGAAGTTACTTATGTCAAAGAAAAGTTCCAAGGTGGTTTGTCATGTTGAAATTCTAAGCAGACAATTAGGCAAGTGAATATTTGAAGTACAGTTGACTAATCCATAAAAATGTGTGTAACTCTTTCTAGAGCAAGAAACAGCACATTCCTTATCGAAACAGCAAGCTTACTCGTTTATTGAAAGATTCTCTTGGAGGAAATTGCCGAACAATAATGATAGCTACTGTTAGTCCATCTTCTATGTTCTATGATGATACATATAATACCCTGAAGTATGCAAACCGAGCAAAGGATATCAAGTCTTCTGTGAGTATTTATCGATCTTTGTCAAAGTATAATAATATAGTATTAAGAGAAGGAAAGTTATTTCTTTTAGAAGATTATAATTTCCTTCACTTTTGTGTCAAAATTTTGTTCAGTTACCTCTTCGTTCTTAGAGTCAACTCTTCATCGTCTGACTGATAGATGTAGTAGATACTAGTCCTGGCCTAAAAACAACATAGCTTCATTAATGGAATTATGCTGCCAGTTTGAAAGAGTTTGTTTTGTGAGCATCAAATTTAGAAATAATCCTCAGCTGGTAGAATTCACAGCCAGTTTCAGTATCTTACTATTACTTTCTCTGAGAACTGTAAAGCATATTAAAGAAATGTCTCAGCAGTTGTACAAGAGCCAGTCCAGGTTTGTTACAGGTAGAATTCAGCTGGAGCCAAGAAGCTCAGAGAGATTATACCGGTAAATGAAAAGCTACTGGAGTGTCCTGTCTTCTGCTCTCTATTCTGATTTTTTTTTTTTTTTAATAATCCTTTGTATTGCAGCTCCTAATTTCGTTTATGTAATATGGGGTTGACTGTAGTTTCCATTTGTTGCATACTTAAAGATAGTTTTTCTAATAAAATGCACAAGATACGTATTAAATAGTAAACCTAGTCTGAATAAATGCAAAATGTGCTTGCACGTATAAATTTAATTATTTTTTTATTGTTCTGTTGAGGGAAATGACATCGATATGCCATAGATGACTGCAAAACCTGAGAGTCATATTTTTGTTGTGCAAGTCAGGTTTTTATTCATCTCATTCATAATATAGTGCAAGTGTAATTATGTACTACTTATACACAGTGTATTTATTATGCACAAAAATGTGAAGGAGCCTTCTTAAATTCTGACTTGTTTCTTTTCTTTAACAGTTAAAGAGCAATGTTGTTAGTTTGGACAGTCACATAAGCCAGTATGTTAAAATTTGCAATGAACAAAAGAAAGAGGTATGTAAAAAAACCTATTGTTAGAAATTTGAAAGATTAATTTTTGTAACTTTAAATACAAGAAAATGTTTATGGGATTGAACCTGTAAGTCAATACTGTCCTAATTCTCTCATGTAGTATTTTGAAGCAAGAAAGATGTTTTGTCTTCTAAGAGGAATATCACCTGTAAAGCTTTTCAAGATGTAAGAACAGAATGATAGGTTTAAAAAAAAAAAAAACAAACAAAAAAAAAAAAAACCAAAAAAACTATGTTCTCACTAAAAGGTACCTTTTTGCTTTTAGATCCTAATGTTGAAAGAGAAACTGAGAGAATATGAGGAAAAGCAAGCAAGCATTCCTGAAAATCACAATGCTGCAGTGCTTTCAAACAACCAGCAAGTGGAAATACAAAGGTAAATTAATCACTCTACGATCTTGCTTCAAAACTAGAGTTTGTATAACTTGTAAAAGCATTTGTAAAACAAACTTACTCTTTTCAATCTTGATTTCCTCATTTTTAACATTACTTTACTTAGACTAGATGTGGCTTTGCTTAACTCACCACTTCTTTTCAGAACAACTTTGTGGTGGATTTAAAATGAAACAAATATCACGTACTTGAGGAAGTATCCTGATGCTAACTTTCTAGGCAAATTATTCCATAAAACACTGCAAGATAAAAATGTACTGTCAGCTTCTTAAAGATCACATAACTTACTATGACATCAAAATTTAGATCAGTGGTGAAGGTCTTGCATCTATAGTTACTGTCTTATGAAGGTTTTCAAAATGCTTATGTACTGGAGTTTCTTAAAGCTTATCAGTAGCTTCATTATTGTAATGAAGTTATTTCATGGGAAAATCGGGTATTTTTGTCTCAAGACTACCAATGTTATTCTGTATTAATCTGTGGATGAAATTCTAACTTTAATAACATGAAAGATTTTAGGACAAGTGTTCTCCATGGAGGTTCCAGAGCTCTGTAGGGCTGAGAAGTACTTTTCTACTACCAAAAAGCTAGAGATGTCAGAGAAAAATAACAAGCATCTTTAATCTTGGTTGTTTGAAGTACCATATTGTAATATAGGTTTTCAGAAAAATTAAAATCAAACCTAAATTTTATAAATTTCTTATCCAGTTTTAAGCCAATATTTAGCAAAATTGGTATGAATCTATTTTAAGTCACCTTGACTTTTTAGATCTGATTTCTATTGTTATTCTTGTGTTATTAGAAGGATCCTCATGTGAAAGCACTATCTTTCAAAAACTGAGTGCGTGTGTGTATACATATATATGTATACATACATATGTAAGCACACATATGCAGTGGCAGATAAAAATGAAATGGTGATTGTGAAAGGTTTGGTAGTAAAAATATTCAGTGAAAATCTGTATTTGTGGGAGGTACAGAGCTGGGATAAGGTCATTCACTGAGGTGTTATCAGGAAGAACACTGAAAAATTGGCGGAAGTTTAGTGGTGAAAAATAACTGCCAACCAGACAACCAACTAAAAATTCATCAAATAAAAATAAAGTAAGAAAAGCAAACAAAACAACTAAATAGCCAAACAGCTGGTCTGTATGTGGGCTGAACAATAACCTAACAATAGAAATAGAATGATAAATGTAACAAAATAGAGTAGTGTTATATTTGAGTGTTGTGTAATAAAGAAATACAATACACTTAAGAATGGGGGGAAAAATTGAACGTAATAGCAACAAAAGCTTCCTGATAGATCTGTCTATGGAGCAGTCTTACTTGGAGGATGATGGAAGTCCGTCTCACAGGAGTTTTAAGACTAGACAGAATCCTTTAATAACAGAAAAAAATCCTTTTTTCTGACCGGAAGCTTATCTTCATAACCCAAAAAATTTGAAAATGTCTTACAAGTAAGAGAAAGTTACTATAGTGTTAAAGTTATATTCTAGACTTTTAAAATCAAGATGGTATGTTTTGGGGAGAGATGGTAGAACAAGACTCTTTTTAATAACTGTAAGCACACATTGCCAAATAGAACTTAACTGTCTCTTGCATTATACAAAAATTCCAGAACTATGCTCTACATTCCAATAGTTTTTTCTCCTCACAGTCCAGTTTAGTTGTTTTAGTAATCTGGCAGGAGGCGTGGTTGGAAATGGCACATGTACATTTCAGGAAGGAGGATGTGAATGCTAGTTTTCTGCAAAGATCCTTAACAGGTCATTTTTGGGTAGACAGAAAGTAGTTTGCAGAAATGAGAGCAGCTACTGCTGGCGGATACTACTTCAGTAGTATTTTTCCTGCAAGGTTTGAGAGGCAAGAACTTGAAATTCTTTTTTCCACAAAGAGTTTAATTTATCTTTGTAGTTTCCTTACTTTCTATTGCTTTTATATTTCTTGGTCTCCCTCTCTTCTTGGTGATGTTCCTGTCTGTCTTTTCTGATGTGACAGTCTCTTGTGAGAGCACACAAAAAGTAACAAATTAAGACATTTGATGTATTAATTTGTTGCAGAAGTCAATCTATTCCATAAGAAGGTTAGGTTTTGGTGTGAAAGTCTGTCTGGCTATGTCTCTGCATATCTCATTGCATATTTCTGAAAACTATTCACCTAGATTTATTCAGTTAACTTTTTTTAATTGGCCCTTTGAATGTGGTATTTTTTAACGTGGAAAACCTTCTGAGATGAAAGTAAAAACCCATTCAAAGCAAAATGCTCTCTAACTGAGCTTCATTTTACTGTCATTCCAGAGGTTTCAACAGGTCTCCCATTCAGTTTGTTTAAATTTAATTTTCAATAGAAGTGTAGGTTTCTAAGTCATGTTGATAGTTCTAACAGTTTTCTTGCATATTTTTGCACTGTAAGTCTTTAAGATTAATTTAATTTCCTGTGATTTACCCTTTGTTTCATTCTATGTGTATGGGAGGAATCAAAGGCAAGGTCTCTAAAATGTCTTCTCAAAATGCTGGACATATTCTATGCCAAGATTTGTTGGTGAGAGAATGTTTGGGTTTTAATGGTCTTAGAATATCCATAGACACACATGTAAGCCTATCGCATTCCCTTTAGATATCAACAATGAAGTGGATGTTTCATCCTCTTCTTCCTCATGAGGATCCTGTCTGATGGTGTGGGTGATGAGTTGATTTTCCCCACGTTCATTTACAGGTTTTGAAGGTATTCTGCTGTCTTCTCCCTTCTGTTTGGGACAGGGTAGAGAACCTTATCCACTATCTTGTGTTTCAGTCTAACTACCTATGGCTTTTGCTTTGCTGTTACCTGGAGGAGACTCACTGATTACACCACTTGCTTCTTCAAACCCAAAGGTCA